GTGATAAACTATGGTAAAAAGAAAACAAACCTTTAGAAATTATACAAGTGATTTAGTACCCACTGAAACAGCAAAATGCATCTTAAGTGACAGTTTCTATTGCCCACCAGGATATGTGAATGCAGTACTCACTAGTACGTTTAAGGCCGATAATGTGCATGAATGGCAGTGTGTACCCATCAGAGTGTATGACTGCGGTAGCAGGAAATCTTTTTTTCACAGTGAAGTAGTCTGGGAGATGTTTTAAATTGTTTTTTATTTGACAATCAGTGTCCCTAATTTGGTTTTGTTCTGAAAGGAGTTATCTTAATTTAGAAATATAACAGAGTTACTGTTATGACAGAATGAGTGTTTCTTGGCAAAAGATCTGCTTTTTTATTACTCGAAGAAATAACACAGGGCAAGGGACCACAAGAACAAGTGGGAAGGACCGTGTCGGAAGTAATTCAGAGAGAATGTCAGGTATGTCTGTTTTGTTGCTTCTCTGAAGCCTTGTCTACAGCAGGGAATTTTTACCAAAAAAATCCCATTGTAAATACACAGGTGTGGATAGGACTTAATGTAGATAGCTCTCTGGCATTAGTGATACAGCGCTGAAAAAGGTGGCTGGAGTCAGAAAGCTGTCTATACTGAGTTCCCGCCTTTGCAAATGCTTGTGTCACAATCAAGTGCAGTGTAGTAACAGCTTGAGAGAGAAAGTGTAAATGTAACCACAACAGGAGCTAAATTGCCCGTGTACTCTCTTTCAGCAATAAAAAGACATGGACCTTTTGTTTAACGAACTTGTGCCTGTACATGCTAGCCCACCAATAAACATACTGTGAGGTCACGAACCGGAGTTTCGTAGCTACCTAAGGGCAAATCTACACAACAATGAAATCTGCGTCAGGGGACCCAGGCACTATCTAGCTGCCCTCAACCCAGTTCAAAAGATTGTAAAGAGAAGCGACTTTAACTGTTTCATAAAAGACTAAAATCTTGAATATATCATTCAACATACTATCATGGGCAGGAGACTATCAGTTTCCCCAGTGGGCATGTCAGAGACCACCTTAACCTTTCTAATAGACATAAGTCACACTGCAAGCTGCTGCACTTCAGCACCAGGCATATTGCCAGCTGCCACTGCCCCCCCACATTCACTCTCCTCCTCCTATCCCTCCAAGGATACTACCAGATGCCATGATCAACATCCCCCATGAATAACAGGTATGTGGATTACTTGCACGTAAGTCCTTATGGGTATTTGGTGCTTCTAAGCTGCACCCACATGCTTGAACAGACCTTAGGCCCACTGCTAGCTCCTGTGCTCATGTGTCCTGATGAGGTGTTAACTAGGATATGTCCAATAAATTGGAAATGCTTTGTAACCTTATCATTTGATTTGATAGTAACTATAGTGTTTGATGATAACTGGTGAGTCCCAGAAGTTAGTTGTATGGCATCTAATTTGTTTAAACCATTTTTCCCACTCAGCATGTGAAACATTCCTAGCTGTGAAAAAGTGGAATGTGGGAATGATTTCTATTAAGCATGTTTTTTCACCCCTGAACAGCCCTGCTTGCAGGTAGAGATGGAAACATTTCTTTTGTACACAATAATATCACTGAAACAATAGCTCCCTCAGTAAAAAAATTAAGCTATTTTTCCAGATTTGGAAACTAGTAGTAACAATCTCATTTTATCCATTGCCAGTCATGCCTCCTATTTTCCTGGCTGAATGTTGGTAATTTTAGATACAAACATGCCCAATGTTTCTAATTAACAAAAAACATACAATGCCTTTGACATCATTAGTTGTTAAGGTGTTAAAATACTGGAATTGTGTTTCTATTAGGGTTCCTTACCAAGCTATTTGTGGAATTCCCCTTAACTGTTTGCAATATAAGCAGTGCATTCTCAGAGTAGTACCCAAACCTGAAAAACACCTTTTTTGAGCCTTGCATAAAGTCAGCCCTAGATAATCAATATTTGAGTTTGAATGACCTAAGTATTAAGGTAGCAGGCTGTGCTATGTTTGCAAATAGTGAGCAGGACTGTCCTACCATGGTGTGCTGGGGTGTGTATAGATTTTGGGCTGGACTATTTATAGACAGTTTGCTATATGCTGTGTGTATATGTAGACACTATGCTGAGCTGACCAGATGCCATGCTAGGTGTATATGCATTTGTGTATATTGTGGTAGGATGGATTGCATGTGTATAGATTGTGCATTAGGCTGTTTACATATAATACGTTACTTACCTGTGTGTAGATGCTTTGCTGGCTGAGTGTAGATACTGCATCAGGATGGGCTCTATGCATTTGTGTGTATGTATCCTGCAGGACTCTGCATGTTTGTAGATACACTGCAGTACTGCATGTGTGTGCGTACAGAAGGTCTGCAGGGCTGGTCTGGGTTGTGTGTGTGTATCTTATTGTCTGTGCAGAGATGACTGGCTTGACTGGGCTGGTGTGTGTGTGGATGGCCTGCAAAACTGGGCTGGGGTGTGTGTATCTTATGTTCTGTGTGTGTATAGATTTAGTCCTGAGGGCATTCTGCGGCAAAATAATAAAAATTCTGCACACAATATTTTAAAATTTTGCAAAATTCTGCAAATTTTATTTGTCAAATAAATGTGAAGGTTCCAGCATGGCACTGGGGAGCACAGGCCACTGGCTGTACAGAGGTGGGAGATCACTGTACTGCTCCCCCCCGGGACACAGACTCAGCAGTGAGGCAGCACCCAACTCTGACACAGTGCAAGGACTGGGCCTGCCCCAGAAACACCTAAGGGCCCTGCCCCTTTGTGCCAGGTGCACCAGTGTGGGTAGGCAGGCTCAGCCCGGCAGGATCCAAGTGTGGAGGGGCTTAGTATGGTGGGATCCAGGTGTGGGTTGAGATGGTTCTGTGTGGGGCAATCTGGGTGCGGGGGGATCTGGATACACAGGGGCTTGTTGGGGGGGGTTCTGGGTGCAACAATAATGGTACTCTGCAGGGGGGGTCCAGATGAAGGTGGTTGGGGCTCAGCAGGAGGGGTCGGGGGGGACAGAGCTCGGTACAGGAGTCTGGGTGTGGGGGACTCAGTGAGGGGTCCAGATGCTAGGGGAGTGGGGCTCAGTGGGGTGGGGATCCAGGTGCAGCTGGTTGGGGCTCGGTGGGGTGGTGATCCATGTGTGGGTGGCTCGTCGGGGTAGTCCAGGTGCAGTGGGAGTGAGGCTCATCGAGGGGGGGTTCTGAGTGTGTATGGGGAGATGAGGCTCAGCAGGAGGGTCTGGAAGGAGTCTGGATGTATGGGGGTTGGGCAGATGGGGGAGCAGCTCCCTGTACAGAGATCTTTCCCCCTGCAGCTGAGGAGCGATGGTTGTAGAAAGTGTGTTGTGGGGTGAGAGGGGAGTTTTGTAGAGCTTCCTGTAGCTGCGGGAGAAATCTGGGGTGTGTCTGACCCAGTCCCAGATGCCATGCAAGGGAAAAGGAAGTCCCGTGCTCCCCAGCCCAGCTGGGACTAGCAGCTGAGCCCGGCGGAGGGTAGGAGCCACCCTTCAGGTCTTCCCCAGTCCCATCCCATGCCCCACTGTGATTTACCTCTCTGCGTGCTGCCCTGGGCACCTGAAATATACTGCTGGGGAGGGTCGCATGACCGCTCTCGTGGCTTCCCTTGGCTTCCCCATCAGAAAGTCATTTTTCTGCAGGGGACCTAAATTCTGTGCATGCGCAGTGGTGCAGAATTCCCCCAGGAGTAATAGATGCAGGGTGGGTTGTGTGTTGATAACGCTGATTTGTGGCTGCACTCCATTTTGTGGTGGTGTTAAACAAATTAAAGTGGGTACAGGTTCGCTCTTCATTCACAAGAAGTTCAGCTGGGCAGGAGACTGGGGCCAACCTCTCCCTTGGGCTCGATGAGACCCTGTCCTGTGGGGCATGTATGTGTGCGTGAGAGCTAGGCTGTATGGGATGCTGCTGTGGAGAGTGTTGTCGAAGACATGAGCTCTCCCCTGGCCTGCTTGGAGGGGTTTGGGGGCAGCCCCTCCCTATTCCCAGCAGAGTCCGGGGAGGCTCTGTTTGAAAAGCGTCCCTGGGCATGGTCCCATAGAACCTAGAGAGAGCCCGGATCTCTGGTATCATTCCACTGAGCAGGGTACCTGCCTGGGGAGAGCTCTCTGGCTCTACCTCCGACCCTGCCTGGGAGGGTCCGGGGAGAGCTAAGCTCTTCAGCAGTGCCCCCCAGGCTGTCCCATGCAGGGAGGCCCCTGCTCTGGGAATAGATACCCCCAGAGATCCGGGCTCTCTCTAGGTTCTATGGGACCATGCCCGGGGGACGCTGTCAAAAGGGGGGCAAGCTCTCCCCTGGGCTCCGGCGGGGGACTGCCTGGGCGGGGGGGGCAATGACAGGGAGGGGGCTCTCCCTGGACTCTGGGGGGCCATGCCCTGGGGGGGCTGGCAATGAGCCAAGTCGAGGGGGGGCTCTCCCGGGGCCTGCCTGGGAATGGGGGGTCTGCCTGGCGGGGGGGCAATGACAGGGAGGGGGGGCTCTCCCCGGGCTGCCGGGGGGTCTGCCTGGTGGTGTGGGGCAATGACAAGGAAGGAGGGCTCTCTCCCGGGGCTGTAGGGGGGGTCTGCCTGGCGGGGGGGGGGGCAGTGACTGGAGAGGGGGGCTCACGGGGCTGCCGGGGGGGTCCCTGCCTGGTGGGGGGGCAATGACAGGGAGGGGGGCTCTCTCCCGGGGCTGCCGGCGGGGGTCTGCCTGGCGGGGGGGGGCAATGACAGGGAGGGGGGCTCTCTCCCGGGGCTGCCGGCGGGGGTCTGCCTGGCGGGGGGGGGGGCAATGACAGGGAGGGGGGCTCTCTCCCGGGGCTGCCGGCTGGGGCCCGGCCGGGTGGGGGGCAGCCGGCGAGGCCAGGGACGGGGTGGGGAAGGTGGTGTCGGGGAGCCCTGGCCCGGGCGGGGCCGGATGGCGGGCCGGCGGCACCGCCCCTCACCTGGCCGGCGCAGGCGGGGCGGGGCGGGCCGGTTCTTCAGCGGGCCGGGCCGGAGGCGCGCCCCAGCGGAGCCCGGGCACCATGGCGGCCGCCGCCGCCGCCTCGCCCTGCGCGGAGCCGGCCGGCCGCAACAAGCCGGACAACACGGCCTTCACGCAGCAGCGCCTGCCGGCCTGGCAGCCGCTGCTGTCGGCGGGCACCGCGCTGCCGCTCTTCTTCTGCGTGGGCCTGGCCTGCCTGGCGCTGGGGCTGGGGCTGCACTTCTCCTCGGGCACCATCCGCGAGCTGGAGCTCGACTACACCGGGGCGCCGGGCAGCGGCCACGGCTGCTCCCGCTGCGCCAACGCCAGCCGGGCGGCCGGGGCCGAGGCCTGCACCTGCTCGCTGCGCTTCGAGCTGCCCGAGCGCTTCCCGGGGCCCGTGTGCCTCTACTACGAGCTCTCCAACTACTACCAGAACCACCGGCGCTACAGCGTCTCCCGCGACAACCGGCAGCTCAGCGGGGACGCCGCGGGGCTCCGGAGCCCCGCCACGGAGTGCAGCCCCTTCCGAACGGACCCCCGGGGCCTCCCCATCGCCCCCTGCGGGGCCATCGCCAACAGCCGCTTCAACGACACCTTCGCCCTCTACCACCTGGCCAACGGCACCTTCCACCGCGTGCCCCTGGACAACCGAGGCATCTCCTGGTGGACCGACTCCAACATCAAGTTCAGCAACCCCGCCCTCCTCAATGGCACCTTGGAGGCCACCTTCAAGGGCACAGCCAAGCCCCCCAACTGGCCCCAAGCTGCCTACCTGCTGGACTCCAACCCCAACAACACCGGCTTCATCAACGAGGACTTCATCGTGTGGATGCGCATCGCTGCCCTGCCTACCTTCCGCAAGCTCTACCGCCGCGTGCGTGAGGGCAACTTCTCCTCTGGCCTGCCCCAGGGCACCTACTGCCTCAACATCACCTACAACTACCCTGTCCTCTCCTTCCAGGGCACCAAGAAGGTCATCTTCAGCACTGTTTCCTGGATGGGGGGCAAGAACCCCTTCCTGGGCATTGTCTACCTGGTCTTTGGCTCCGCCTGCATCCTCACTGGCTTTGTCATGCTGGCTGTGCATATCAAGTTCCAGCAACAAAACCAGATGGATGTGGAATAGAGAGATGGAGTCCAAATGCCCCCAAACTTTGGAGGAAGTTGTGCTTCAGATCCAAACTTTTCTCCTAGCATCCAGGCCTCATCCTTCTCTTTCACTGTTATAATTCTGATCTCAGTGGGTTTACTGTCAACTCTCACCACTGTAAGTGGGAGCAGAATTGGGCCTTCCGTGTCTGTAATGGGCTGAATGAAACCTCCTTCTCCTTGCCACAAAACTGGTTCAAACTCTACAGCTCCAACTTATTCAGACTGAGTGATAAGAGCATCACTTGGTGTATATCTGTGCACCTAAAGGATCACTGTCAGATTTTCTTTTTGCCTAACACAATTACCAATGTTTCTAATGACACCATAGACTTTTTTCTTTTTAGGAGTGGAAGAATTTCAACCTGTTTTTCATCCTACACTCTTTTCCTCTGTCTGGGTTTAACTTCTGTTTTTCTAACCTTTTTCTACCAATGAAAGTGAAGCTTGCTAGTCTGTTTATTTATAGATTCTAGTCAATTGCATATTCAGGTTACCATGCATTAGCACAATGACCTGCTGTTTGGATTGCAAACTTTACAGTGGATTGTCTTTAAAATCTAATCATATCATTTAATAATCTTAACGTTTCCAGTAGATCTGACAGGATTTTTACAGGACCTGTATTTGAGGCCTAAGTTATTGGTGCCTTTTTCTTTAAAGTAGTAAAAGGGGCATTTGGCAGTGTCTTAGAAAGACCAAAGATCAGCAAGAGACCTTTTTCACAGTGGTGAGCGCTACCATATTGCTTGAGCCCAAGGTGTAAAACACTCCCATAAAGAAGCATCACTCTGCTGGTGGTTGATAATCCAATTGTCAACTGTTTTAATTTTAAAAATACTTTTTTTCTTTAAATTTTTGAAGAGTAGGAATGTATAGTAGTCCTCAGTGAAATGGAAAAAATTGAACTGGAGCTGTCCAAAAGGATAAACTTTAAGCTTGATATTAATCCTTAGTGAGAGACTATCTTGTGAGATACCAGCTGGGTAAGTGGTAACAGTGATCCAAAACTATTTTTCTTCCCTCTTTCCTTCCTCTCACTTGAGGTCTTGCTAGTAGATGCAGAGTGACTTTACCTATAAGCATCTTCTGAACAAAATTGACTAGTGGTGGTGGAGTCCACTTATGGCAAAAGGCTCCTTTCTTTCTCTGCTGTAGATTTATCTTCCATTGAAAAGGGTAGAAGGATCTTTCCTCGTCCATATGTTCTTTTTCTAAAAGATATTGCTAAGAATGGCATTAAATAACTTTGAGACAAGAAACACTTATATGGTAATGAAAATTGGTCATCCAACTTGCTTATCTAAAATAAATAACTTAATAATCTTTTCAACCAAAACATACCCAATCATGTGTTCAAAAACAGTGACCCCAGCTAGGAGACTAGTCTGGGTTCTCAAATATGTATTTTCTTGAATGTTTATATTTTGTTTCTGTCCTTTGCTGTTTTTTTCCCCTCTTAAAGAGTTGAGTTGACAACAAGTTAAAGTGACGGTACCTTGGGAACCATCACTTGATAGTGGCTGCTTATGAGAGGTACTCTGGTTAGCCCTGATTAGGATTCCATATTAGATGTCTGAATGTCTGTGGCATGTAGATGATCTTTAATTCACAATGTAACTGCTCCCCTTGTCACATCTATGTATATTTGAAGTCTTTGGGCAAGTGTGGAACCTCTTTTTAATTTTTCAAGTTGGGTGATTCTTACTGCAGAAAAGTTTCTTCAAACTGAATTATAAATGCAGGCTTATTACGACTTCAGAAGCAGTGTCTTTTATACCAGTGCTGTGAACTGCATGTCAGTTGAAACTTGAAAAGTTATGTAAAGACTTAACCAAATTGCTTTTAGTTCTTTGAAAATGCTTTGAAGTACACGAGTAATTGTCTGTCTGAGAAATGACTTCGCATATTAAATGACCTTTTTTTCAAGTTCACAGTGGAACTGGCTCTGTGGAATGCTGTAAGTGCAAGAAAAGGCCTTCATACAAACAAATATAATAGCAGTGTGTTCTGCCTGTGGACCAAATTCAGCTCTGTTCCACCCATGCAGATACCACTGAGGTTGCAAAGGTGTAAATGAGGGCAAACTTTGTCCTTTATGTTGTTGTTAACATTATTCTTGCTAACTATTCTGTTTGAAAAATATATTTGCCCTGCAGTCTGATTCATCTGGGAAGTAGTCTGTAGGATGCGAATATACGTAACTTCATTCTTACTGTTAGGAATGCTAGCTGTCTGGATTGTGAAATGGGAGCATCACCCCGCAAACTGGTAACGCTGCTGGTTCTGCTGGTATCTCTTTAGCTTAATAACTGATGTGGATCTTCTGGAAGCCAACTTTGAGTGGAAAGGGCAAGCTCAACTTCAGTAGGGATAGTGTAGGGCTTTTTGTGGAAAGAACTCAACTACCTAAACCTGCTGTAGTCCACATGCCTTCCAAAAACATCCACAAAGTGCAGGCCAGTTGAGCAAACCTGCCTTGAGAGGTGGTGACTAGATTATGCATGCAGATGAAATGGAGGAAGACTTCATTGTAGACTGGAGGCATGATGCTTCTTTCACTTACCCTGGTGTGCATAACTCCATTGAATCCATGGAGTTCTACTCTGATGTAACCAACATAAATTAGAGTAGAATCAGAATCTCGCTGACTTATGAGAGGCAAGTCTGCATAATTTTCAGTAACTGTTACTTGTCCATATTTTGTTTCCTCTGAATAGAGGACTTCCTCACTAAAGTGTGTGTAATTTTTACTCGTATATTATATATCTTTCCCAGCATTTTAATAGCAGAGAGAGTAAAGAAATACTTTTATTTCCCATTACCACCTGATGGATCCTTTCTAGTCTAAAGGAACTGGAGGTGACTCTCCTTTCTCCTCTCCCTGCAGTCCATTTTGATAACTTTATTAATAGAGAAATCGGGTAAATAGCTCATTTCCCACATTGAAGGCATAGTTAAGAGTTTGACAATATGAATGAATATTGAATTACCTTCTAGAAAGAACCCCATTCACTTTGTAAACTTTTTCTAAAAGGAGTTTATGGGGAGACTGTCCTGTAATTATATTCAGAGTGCTTGGGGGCAGTCAAGGTCCCAATTTCTTAAAAATAGAAAACCAGGATTACTTATTCTATATGACAGCCAGCAGGTGAACTTGTAAAGAATACTTGCGACAGTTTCACTGGGTGGTGGTTTAGATCAAAGCTTATAATGAACATTTATGATGCACAATAAAAGGACAATTAAACACTGCTTAACATCTATCTTGGAATCCCATAAGGCTTTTCTTCTGTAGTAATGACAACAATTTTTAATTCACTTACAAAGCCTCTCATACTGGTAGGTCAAAGGTCAAAGCCTCTCATACTGGTAAATCAGGAAGACAAAGCCTTTCAAAGTGGTACAGTCTGGGTGAGCTTTGGTTCTTATTGGTATTCTGTTTGAAATTTAGTAGCCTTATTTCTTGTACCTGTAATTTTATGAGGAAAAGTAACTGCAGCAATGGTTTATTAGTTATCTATCTACCTGATTGCCCCAGAATATTAAGTAATTACAATTGCAAAATTGTACCCACATTTTACTTTGCAAGTGCAAAAAAGGTAATCTGCGTTTTAAAACTGAACTGATTTTTTTAGAAAATGAACTACAGTGTTCCAGTGACAGTTGTGTTAATCCCAAATTTGTGCTGATAACACAGATTGGGATTGGATTTTCAGCACAGCAATAGGTTGGTGGGTTTTTGTTTTTGAAAGATCTTAACTAAAATTCAAAACAAATTTTATTTGGAGTGTTTTAAAGTCCTCCATTAGAACGAGAAGATTTTCTTTCTGTCATTTTAAATTCTGAACTAAAATGTTAATTCTGTTTCGTGGGATAATTCAACACATGTCATCTGGGATCAATTCAACTTTATTTTGAAATTCACTTCAAAGGGTCCACTGTCAAAATAACTCCTTTCACTTGCAATACTATAAAATCTGAAAATCTAGCTATCCTGTTTATTCTTTTTCTACTTCAGGGTTTGGAGAGTGTAACTAGGCTCATAAATTTGACTTGTGCTTTATAGTTGCTTTCTAAGTCAATATCCTTTCTAGGTTTTATGAATTAACACAATGTTCTTTGTATAACTCCAGGTCATGAACTTGCAGAGAGATATTTCAGTTGAGTGATGAAAATACTCCCGATCACAGTTTTTAAACAATTACATTTTGGGGGTTAAAACTAGTTGTTGTGACCCTTTACTATGGTGAAGAGTGTGTTTGACTTCAGAAGTTGTAAAGAATGCATTTGAGGAGGAGTAGTGAGGAAAATTGATACAGGCACACTCAAACTTTCCGAGTACTGCACTGTATAGACTTGGGTGTGCATTAACTCTTAATAAAACGCTCTGAATATAGGTTTCTCTCTCTTTGATAGGATCAGTCTACCCTGCTTTTGCAATGGAAACTTCAACAAATAGGTGGAAAAGGTCAATGGTATCTCATTTCACTGTGGTGAAATACCTTGGTTTCCTCTGTTGAATTACTGGTTTTGTGACAGACTTCTTCAGAACAGATGTCACTGCAACTCCTACAAAAGAGTTCCTTCTGGTTTCTTTTATAGCGGAAGCATGCCAGTGTCACAAAGGATTATGTTATGCCAGGAACAGGGGTTAAAGTAAGGGGGAGCAGCAAGGAGCACATCTCCTCCTTTGCTAATATCGGAGGGAGAGCAGCACTCCCAACACCTGCCCCCCTCCTACTTGGCTGGTGCTCTGAGAGCCTCTTTACTGTTTCAATTAACTCTAGCCATTAACCAGGACGTCAAGCCTTCCTCCTATAATGCTAGTAGTCACTGACAGGGAACATGCACTGGCTCTTTCACTGGTATCTATATTAAGGCTTGGTATGAAAATATCAATTACTATAATTTATTATTATGGTTCAAGTACTAGGGGTGAGGGGAGTTTATAGCTTTATCAAATTGATCGTACTTCTTAGTTAAGTCAATGTTAATGGAGGGTACAGTGATTCCCAAATGAGTTCACCAAGAGAGGAAGTGTGGAGTCTTGTTATGCTCTGATATTTTGAGGCTTGGTTTTTGACCCATCTGTGTAACATTTAAAATCTAATAGCAAAGAAAAATGCATTGATGCTACTAATTTTAAAAATAGAGGGAGAGAGGTGTATGTGTGGAGGAACCTCCAAACAAAGTAATTAATTATTAAATGTTGCTGAGATTAATCATAGAATATAAGGGTTGGAAGGGACCCCAGAAGGTCATCTAGTCCAACCCCCTGCTCGAAGCAGGACCAATTCCCAGTTAAATCATCCCAGCCAGGGCTTTGTCAAGCCTGACCTTAAAAACCTCTAAGGAAGGAGATTCTACCACCCCCCTAACGCATTCCAGTGTTTCACCACCCTCCTAGTGAAAATGTTTTTCCTAATATCCAATCTAAACCTCCCCCACTGCAACTTGAGACCATTACTCCTCGTTCTGTCATCTGATACCATTGAGAACAGTCTAGAGCCATCCTCTTTGGAACCCCCTTTCAGGTAGTTGAAAGCAGCTATCAAATCCCCCCTCATTCTTCTCTTCTGCAGGCTAAACAATCCCAGCTCCCTCAGCCTCTCCTCATAACTCATGTGTTCCAGACCCCTAATCATTTTTGTTGCCCTTCGCTGGACTCTCTCCAATTTATCCACATCCTTCTTGAAGTGTGGGGCCCAAAACTGGACACAGTACTCCAGATGAGGCCTCACCAATGTCGAATAGAGGGGAACGATCACGTCCCTCGATCTGCTGGCTATGCCCCTACTTATACATCCCAAAATGCCATTGGCCTTCTTGGCAACAAGGGCACACTGCTGACTCATATCCAGCTTCTCGTCCACTGTCACCCCTAGGTCCTTTTCTGCAGAACTGCTGCCTAGCCATTCTGTCCCTAGTCTGTAGCTGTGCATTGGGTTCTTCCATCCTAAGTGCAGGACCCTGCACTTATCCTTATTGAACCTCATCAGATTTCTTTTGGCCCAATCCTCCAATTTGTCTAGGTCCTTCTGTATCCTATCCCTCCCCTCCAGTGTATCTACCACTCCTCCCAGTTTAGTATCATCCACAAATTTGCTGAGAGTGCAATCCACACCATCCTCCAGATCATTTATGAAGATATTGAACAAAACCGGCCCCAGGACCGACCCTTGGGGCACTCCACTTGATACCGGCTGCCAACTAGACATGGAGCCATTGATCACTACCTGTTGAGCCCGACAATCTAGCCAGCTTTCTACCCACCTTGTAGTGCATTCATCCAGCCCATACTTCCTTAACTTGCTGACAAGAATACTGTGGGAGACCGTGTCAAAAGCTTTGCTAAAGTCAAGAAACAATACATCCACTGCTTTCCCTTCATCCACAGAACCAGTAATCTCATCATAGAAGGCGATTAGATTAGTCAGGCATGACCTTCCCTTGATGAATCCATGCTGGCTGTTCCTGATCACTTTCCTCTCATGCAAGTGCTTCAGGATTGATTCTTTGAGGACCTGCTCCATGATTTTTCCAGGGACTGAAGTGAGGCTCACTGGCCTGTAGTTCCCAGGATCCTCCTTCTTCCCTTTTTTAAAGATTGGCACTACATTAGCCTTTTTCCAGTCATCCGGGACTTCCCCGGTTCGCCACGAGTTTTCAAAGATAATGGCCAATGGCTCTGCAATCACAGCCGCCAGTTCCTTCAGCACTCTCGGATGCAACTCGTCCGGCCCCATGGACTTGTGCGCGTCCAGCTTTTCTAAATAGTCCCTAACCACCTCTATCTCCACAGAGGGCTGTCCATCTCTTCCCCATTTTGTGATGCCCAGCGTAGCAGTCTGGGAGCTGACCTTGTTCGTGAAAACAGAGGCAAAAAAAGCATTGAGTACATTAGCTTTTTCCACATCCTCTTAATTGATCA